CTTATAGAGCGTATTGTGTGTAAGGCTAATGGTCAACGTCAACGAAGTGATTGGGTTTTTCCGGCGTGGCTTTTGGCATGGTACATCCACCATAGACCAAGCATTCGCCATAAGCCAAGGATGATCGACACACATCATATAGATATTTGTTGACTTTAGAACCGTCTTTGGTAGCACGAAAAGTAGTCCCCCTTCGCCTTATGAAATTTACAATCTATAAATAACTCACATTATGCCCATCCTGATATATAGCGTGGAAGTGCGGACAATGACAGCAATCGCTAAGGTGTCCTTCGGGACATTCAATAAAAAATCCGGCTGGATAATTCCGGGCTTTGGGCCTTGGCGAGCGCGAATACCGCTGACGATAGAAGAATGAGCTTTAGAGAAGCGAATTAAATTTCAGCGTCTCAGATGGCAAGGCCATATCGCAGAAAGTATTCGAGCTGCTACCCGCTGGTGGTAGCAGATGAAGTAAGGCCTCCTATGCGATGGAAAGACCAGGGCGGCTACTTTGTTATGCGATACGAAAGAGCACTGCGTTGCGATAGGGAAATACATACATCGTAGGATTACACTCTGGCCGATTGCCTATCGCATCGCATTTCTCTTTCGTATCGCATTACAGAGCAGCCCCCCCCAGGTGTTTGAAATAATTTGCAGTAAAATCTCTTATTGCATAACCCAGTGTGTAGATTCTCGCAATCAATGTATCAGTAAATATTGTAAAGTGTTGATGAGTTCAACACCAATTAGCATTTTTCAGTTATATTGTAAATGTTTTTCTGAAATTTATTTGCTAATGCCGGCGAGTTGTTTTCAATTGCTGCTGCCTCGCTATGCATTTCTTCGTAGAGCCACTCGTAATTAATGTGGGAAATTTAGAAGCGCTGCTGCTGGGCTGTTGCCTTGGCAATGCATTCTATCGGCCCCTTTGTTTTTGCCAACAATTACTTATAGTGTTGTTAGTGGGCTGTTTTGGATGTCCGGCAGAAATTTAAGTTCCGTTCTGCATGACAGCATGCACCGATCTGCATCATACAGTGGGGCTCAGTGCGTTTCGAACGGCAGCCGGTAGCGGTTGAATCGTAGCGGACGTTCGGTTCGTGGACAAGTGGTGAATTTTACGTTGTTGCTGTGGGTGCATACACAAATTGTAAAGAGTAAATACATTATTTGTTATATGAATAGACTTTATAGTTTAAATATGTGTGTGCTTTTGTAACATAATAATTAAATTCGCTAAAAATTCTTACTTTGAGTGTTAATTAGTGATAGTAACGTAGTTATACAATGTTCCTAAAAGTGTTTTGTGAAGGTGTTATACTCGTATAAGTAGCTATGTATGTACATTAGACCACTTGGTATAGTAATGATCAGGGAACGGATTTTATGGAAAGTTCCTTTTTTCTGCTAAAGATACAGAGTATATTCGAATAAAAATGTCCATGATTTACCTTTCTCTGATTCCATATATACACATTTGATATTGCCTTTTTTAAGATATTTGCCTTTTGTACCTTTGATAATATGCAAGTTTTAAACGTTCCATATTTAAATTGGGTGCCACTTGTACCAACTCACGTTGAGCGCACGTTTAGTACACTCAAGGCTTTTCTTCACGATAATCGAATGCAAATACTGTCAGAAAACTTTAAAATGCATCTCTTGGTTCAATGTTGCTACATACACCCATAGAAATTAAACTTTTGTGAGTTAAAATATCGAGAGGAGAAAATAGTCAAAGATTCAAAATACAAATTTTTCATATAATGAAACTATGTAGTTCATAGTTTTTTTCTTTCTACTCATAAAATAAACACTTCTAAAATAAATGTATTTTTCGATTATTATAAGATTTTTGTTTTTTAGTGCCTTCTTTTGCCTTTTTTTGCGATTTCCAGTGCCCTTTTCTGCCTATTTCGTTATTTTGTTTTGCCTTTTTTATAGGTTTTTAGGTTCTCAAAATCCGTTCCCTGGTAATTATCCTCAATGAATCTCCCCTCACTACGATAATTCTAAGAGATCGCGCATCGAGTGTTTATTTTTCCCATAGGAATAAAACGTGAGAAAGTGAGTTATTCTCTTTTGAGGTGAGTATAATTTTTTAGGCTCAATCAAAACGTCAGAAACTATATACATATGTACATATATAGCCAGGCCAACTCGCTCCAATACCTACGGTATTCAGTATGAGTTCTTGTATTTTCTATGTTTGAGTGAAAAGCTTCCAGGGCTGCCTGATTATCGGAGAAGATGAACACCTAAGTACTTCATCTCTGTGGGCTTTTAAGCAAAGCCGGAAATATTCCATTGTGGAACTAGCCATTTGATTTTAACTTGAGAACTCTCACTACTTGACACAAACTATCATTATATAATTCTATCCCTCTTACCAGTGTTGCCGTTGTGCGACTAAAGGGGCAATATGACCCTTTTTAGGCGCCAATACCCTTTGACCAGACTTTTTGAAAATTTTGATTTTTTTACCCCTTTTCGAAAAATATGTGCGACTTTTTCCCCTTTTCAGAGATTTTGTTTTAGACCCCTGCTATTAAAAAATTATTCCACCTATACTCAACGAAAAATGCACCACTTAAAACTTTTCAAGGAAATCCTCCTTGCAGCAACTCGATTTCTGTGTTTTGTTTAAAGCTTGTCCTACTATTTTCTTCTTAAATTTAACAGCGGAAAGTTTTAGCAGCGAAAAAAATTTATTATACATGTAAATTTGATTTTGACCTGGGATCTTAGACTTATTTTTTTTTACTAGTAAAGAAAAGCAAATATAATATGGTGACCCGTTTTTTCGTCAATTACCTCTTTTTTGCGACTTTCTGAAACTTACCATCCAAAAAGTCGTTCCATTTCGGAATTTGTGCAGGAAATACCGTACCTTCTACTATGAAATGCATTGATGATTACATCTGACCCTGATGTTTATATCATAGTTTCTTAATCCGCCAGCTATTTGTCCCTTTTACCGCGCTTTCATCACGATCCACATCCTCGTTGCTAATTTTAAGTCATTTTCGATTGCTTTCTATAACACATATAGGCTGGGTTATAATTTAACAGATTATGGATATTTAGATACGTATACTTACATAGTATCTACGCAAATATAAACAGATTTTTATGTGCATTTAAGTATGCATGTTCATATCAGTATATATGTATGAACACTTAAACACAAGTACTTATTTACGCACTAAACTCTCATAATTAGACTGCGGATTTTTATGCAAAATACGGAGCCTAGAAATTTGTACCACATAACTTTAAGCAAAGTGTATAAATTTGTATACATTTTGTTTATACATACATGTTTACACACTTTGCTTATAAGCTCCGTATTTTGCAAAAAAATTCCACAGTCAACTCATAATTTATAGCAGAAAATGAGATTACATTATCTTTGCAATATTTCTATGTTTGAATAGTATTCGTATAAAAACTAAAATTATAAGGTCTGTAAACAATTATACATACGAAAGTAAAACCATAGTAGACTTTATTTAACCACGAAAAAAAAACATTAAAATATCACTGTTTACCGGCACATAAATATGTATGTATTTAATATTTTGTTGTTATAAAGATCAGTCCACTTGTTATTGTTAATTAGTAGGCTAAATAAATTTAATGTTGAAGTGCTAAAGTACACAATAGCAGTAGCAACCTCCACCTCCAGGCGTGTCGACAGCACATAACATCTGTTTAAACGACTGAGTTACATTTGTATATACATATGTACATTAGGCCATATCACTATAAATATATGAAAGACAAAAGCTTAGCGTGTGTGGGTGTATTTTTTTTTTGTTTGGCACCCGCTCAAAACAGCTAAATCGCATTTATTGCTATAACTTTCTTATACGCTGTCCGGATTTTTTTAATTTTGTGGTGCCGAAAAGGCCTCCATCAGGTCTATAATTGGCCCTGCAAAAGGTTTCGACTTTAAAACCCGTTTTAATTCATACCTTCACTAAACTTGCAAATACTATCCCTAATTGTCTATTTTTATACTAAAACCTCAAAAAAAAAAAAAAGATGACGACTTTGCTTTGGGCTTTATTCACAAACAAACAAGTTATACGGGCATGTTGTGAAATTCGAAACTTTGAAATCGACTCGAATTGCCAAATAGTTTTTAATTATATCTGATGAAAAGAGTGAATATTCTAATTGAAACCCGTAAAAGAAGCAGCAGAGATATGAAATATATCATTTTAATGCGAGACTTGTAAATTTTTTGGTTAAAAACCATCGAAAAAATTATCAAAATCGACTCGATTTAAAATTTTCGAATTTCAGAACATGCCTGATAATGTTTTTAATACTTAAGGAGGCTTAAATTTTTAGTTTTTATGTTGTTATATTTTGGAACAAATTCTCGTCATACCTTGACAAATTTGATTTGGAAACAAACCGGTTTCGGCGCCGTGCCTTCGTCTGTGTCGTGGCTCTTTTTTTTGTTAAACTTTTTAATTTTAAATAGAAAATTAATTTTCTTAAAAGTGTGGAAGCTATTGCATTGCTAAAGTTAAATGTTTCAGAATCGAAAATAATGGCAACCTTCCACTAAAACACTTAGGAATACCATTTACCACATAGGCAAATCATTTTTTAAAAATAAATAAATAAATAAAAAAATAAATAGTGATATTGTATCTTCATTTTGCAAACGATGGAAAATAGGTGGCAGCCCTATTTAAAAATATTTTTGAATTGAGATTTTTTAAAATGCTTTCTGTTTAATACCCATATTGTGGTACATCATTTATTTGAAATGTAACCAATTTAGAATATGTGGCAACCTTGTAATGCATAACATTTCTGAATTCACAATTTCATCAACAAAATCTCCCATACAAATTGACCCGCCTTAATAAACATGTTTATAGGCATACACAAGAATTTCCAATTTAAAATAATACGATTTACACCGTTACATTTCGAACTAATCTTAATATTTTACTTTTTGGTTTTCATTACAGATAAAGTAAGCAGCAACTAACCGAGGTCTGTTATGTAAATTCTTCTGATAATTTGAAGAAGTACCTGCCCCTTTAGTAAGCAAACATTTACTGAACAATAAGTATTTTCGAGAACCCCAGAAAAAAAAAGTGTTCAAAACAACGCAGAAAATTGCTAAGCACTAATCTCCAATCAGATTAGATTATTTAGCAACAGCCACTAACTACTAAGTCGTAGACTTTTTCTTAACGATTTGACGCAGCAAACGTCGCGCTTCCATCCATCACGTAGCTGCAATTACAAATGAATAACAAAATCAAGAACAAAACCGTTACAGCTAAACGATTACAACAATATCAACAACAACTGAAACAGTTACAACAACGCAGCGAAGAGTTGAGCTTCATCAATATACGACGTGAAATCTTCACCTTCAAGCGCCTGAACCACAACCCAGATAATCATAGCCGCGGTAGCATTACGAGTGGCATAAGGCTGAAACAGTTGACAACAAAAACAACATCAGCAGCAGCAACAACAACAACAGCACTAACCGATTTGGCAACGTTGTACGATAGCGAGTTAGAAACACCAGCAAAACAATTGAGCTGAAAAAGTTAAAATACTACTAGCAAGTAGCAAACAGCAAAATTGCAGTCAACAGCTGCAACAAAGCAAAGAGAAATCGGTGCATCAACAACAGGCCAAAGCAAAGCAAGCGCTTGATACCAAACCGGTTGCCGATTTGCAAGGGAGCGGCGCGTGCTGGCAGTTGTTGCCGAAATTTCAATTGAAGAAAAGCGTCGCGGAAAATTAGGTGAACCTAAAAAGTTGTGCGAAGTGGGCGCTGAAAAAGCAATAAAGCGTGGAGTGGAACAACAGTCAGGCGCCGATTGTCAATAGAACGCCAAGGTAAATATACCGTTGCAACGAGTGCCAGCAGCGGGCGTAGAAAAGAAAAGCAAGGCGGAGAAAGACCACGTTTGAAGCGTTAAGTTTAAGCGGTGAGACGGGGGTTGACAGTAGAGGTGAGTGTTTGGTACTATCAAACGGCTGTGAAGGAACGTGTTAGCGCGTGTCAAAAGCCCGCCAACGCTCAACAACTGGAAGTTACTTACCAGTGAAGAGCTCTAAATGAAAAACAATAAACAATCCAACAATCAATAATAAACGCAGTAAAAAGCAAACAATAAATAACCAAAGCAAATAACAAAAGGTGTGTCCCAATTGACCTCAACAGCAAAGCAAGAAAAAAGCCAATGCAATGCATTAAAAACAAAGTTGATTAAAAACGTAAAATAAAAATAATCAAACAAGCGGCGAAATCCGAATGCGTGGAAAAGCGAAAAAAATAATAATAAACAAAACGAAACCAAAACCAAAATTGAATCCGTACATGGCAAAAGCAAGCGCCTAAAATATCACACTCCAACACAAAACTTAAGCACACACGATTGTCAACCAACAAAGGCGAATAATAAAAACAAATAGTACCGAAAATATACGCGCACGCTCCATATAAATAGGTACTTATACTTATACATTTTCGTAGCGGTCGCGTGCAATCGAGTGTGCATTGGCGCATGCGCATTTCTGTCAACACCAAGCAAGAGCCCGCCGCTACAAGTAGGCTCGCCCAATTCGACTGCATTTTGGCATCGTTCAGCTGTGCTGCGTTCTCTGGCTGCTGCTGCTGCTGGTGCTCCACCTGAACCTGTTTTGTGGCCATTATTTAGCAGCAACAAGTCGTTGTTGAGCACCTCAATTGTTGTTAAGGTTAACTGCCGATTGCTGATTGCAGTAAGACCGCACAAAACAGTTGTTGTTGTTGGTAGCCGTTCAGATAGTAAACGTGTGGGCATTGATTGCTCTTTTCAATTCTTCGACTTTTATTTTGACCACTGATCACCACCACTTTTAAGCATCGATGGTTGATTACTACGCGGATATGGGACAAATCGGACAAGATGTGAGTAAATGAATTTTGTTACTTGCCTCCTTTTTACACGAATTTTACTTAACTCTTGCAAATAAATAAGAAAAACTTTAAAAACTGCGTTTGTCGCTACAATTCGTTTTAGCCTACTTAGGTCCTACATATTGGGGTATATAATTTTTAGAGCTTCATGAAGTCAAATTTTCAAACAAATTTTTCATTTATGAAACATTCTTTATTTTTTAGGAATGTGCGTGTTAGTTAATATATTTTCGAAGGAATTTAGTAGGTAAAATATCGACTTTATTCTAGAAATTTAATTTATTCTTCAAAGGTGTATTAATTCCATATTCATCTTATGTTATCAATTAAATTTCTCAAATAAGTGGCAACCCACTTCAAAATGACTTTGGACAGTAAACTTTCTTAAATCTCTGTAGTTTGATACCCATATTGCAATATTTTATTTATTAAATTAAATTATAATTTTCCAACAGGTGGCAATCTTCCTCAAAAAATATTTTTGCATGTAAGCTTTCTTAAACCTCTTTCTTTCGGCAGTCATATAGCGATATCTTATCGATGTACTTAAACTGCAATTTTCAAACAGGTGGCAACTCTCTAATATATTAAGTTAGACTACCAGTAATGCATCGGTGAAACTGCGCGTACAAACATAAAGACAGAGAGGCAGACAGACATACAGACAAACAGATAGACAAAAATTCTAAAAATTGTTGATTTGGTTTCTGTTGTTTTAATAATTCAGTGCAATGTAATATAAAATAATGGGTAATAACTGAAAGAGGAAATTGTGTAGAATTAAAAAAATAAATCATAACTAATTTAATTTTTTTCAAGCTAATAAGATCAGAAGAACGAAATTCGAGGATGTGGTCTATGTGTTTGGCTATATTAATCCTTAGCATATAATTTTTTCAAAAATGGATATTTCAAAATTTCAAGGATATTCAAGGATAAAATTTTAAAATTACATTTCCAATACCTACTCATCCTTATGCACCGAAAAATTTAGTTTGTTTTAATTCTACAGAATTTTCGCTTTAATTTGATGCCCATACTGTTTTTTTACATTGCACTGAATTTTTTAAATTAACCATATTTTTAAATTTCAAAGTCCTTTAAAAAAAAATCCTAACATTAATCCTAATGCATTAGAGAGAAAAACTTAAAACGCCTATTTGTTATATTTGGCCCAGGATTTCGCGAATATATTGATTTTTTTTGTGTGTAAAAGTTACAGACGCACGGTGTAAAAAAAAAAACAATACAATATTTTAAAATGCCTAAACGTTCTACCATTATTGAGTTAGTCTAACTAATCAGCTTTGACCCACATATATTCCAAACCGTCGTTTGAGTTATCAACTTGTGTCATAAAACTACATACAGTGTTGCTCTACACATATATGCATACTTATGTACGTACGTAAATACACAAAAAAAAAACTACATAGAAATTAAAAAAATAAACATACATAAATTCACTTAATCTTTGTTATCAACAATTTGCGTTATTAAGTATTATTTCGCTAGTTTAGAGTGAAAAGTGCCTGAGTCCAGTTTTTCTAATTTTACAAGAGAATAAAAACCTTTGAAAACTATTTTCTTTTTCCAAGCTAAGGTTACTCCATACAATTCGAATTTCACAACGTCGATAAAAAGTTCTGTATATTTTGAGGGTTATACAATTTTCTGTGACTTTTTTCACTTATGAAGAAGATAAGTAAATAGTTCGAACTTTTTAGAAACGATTCATTTTTAATGGCTCTTGTTTCCTGAGTAAAAAAAATGATTTTTTAAAAACGTGGACTTAGCAATTTTTCACTCTAAGCTGGTGATTTTTTTTAATTTTTGTGTGCATGTTTCTGCCTCATTGCAGTGCGATTAGAATTACTAAAATACTTTTATAATTACAAAGGCTTGTTCCGCAGATTTTTCACCGTGTTGATAACATACGTATGTATGTAGAAGAAAAATTAAGTATAAAAGGCTTGTCTTAACGCTTTGAAGTTTAAATATAATTTTGTTTAAATATACATACGTATGCGTCTATGTACATCAGAGTGGTCCAAAATGCATGTGCCCAAGACAGGTATGTAGTTAAGTGAATGTTTCCCAATAATACCAGAGTAATTATATGTAAAAAACGAATTTTTAGCTGCATTTTAACATGCCAAGAATATAAAAAAATTGAGAACATCAGCGGTTTTATAAAAAACCGACCAGCGCGACCTGTAAGAAAACTTTCTCTTTTTTTATCACAAATTACAATAAATTTAGGTAGCGTGTATGAATTTCCAAAAAAATTTTTTTTTTGAACCACTCTAATGTATATGAATATTTATTGTATTTTCTTGTATTTATTTGAATTGTGCCAGTAATAAGTGAAAAAATCTTGTGATTCTTATCACCACATGCCTTTGTTGTCATCGGCAGCATGTTCTAATTATTAAAATCAATTAAAATGATTTTATATTCAATAAAGCATCGATACTGCTTTTGCCGTATTTGGCAATGCAAATGATGAAATCATGAACATACATTGCAAACGCATAATCAACACATAATCCATACTTACATAAAAGACACAGTTTCTTACAGTGCCCCCTCATGGTCATATATTGTAGATAACTGCCTTTCCGATTGATCGCAACAACATGGAGCATCAATAAAGTCTTATTTGAATAATAAATTAAAAAAAAGTAACTGGTTCCAAACCTACGATCTACACTGAGGGAAAAAAATATTAAAATCAAATAGAAACGTAATTGATCTTACTATAAACGTCAACGAAAGTACTGTATATTGGTAAATATTCAATTCAATTACGCGCATATTAAAATGACCGCGTTCGTACTGAAAAGGCATCCGTGAAGTGAATAATCAAGACAAAAACTAAAAAAAAAATTTAATTTGCATGTTGCCTGCAGTGGAATTCGAACCCGTCCATCCCCGGACATCAACAACTTGTGGCAAGCATCTTTGCGCACTCACCCTGCAGGGAAAGCTACTAGTTGTGAACTAGAATTCTACCGGTTTGCTTTTCAGCCGAACTAGTTCACGTTCTATCCATGTTAGCGACTGGTATTTTTAACATTGCGATATTCTACGAGATGTCAATTGTCAGGCTATGCATCAGCATCTACTGGTATAAATACTAGTAGCATCATACCAAGTGATGAGATAGTCTGCCAATTCATGCCCCGTGAAAAGCATAAGTGTGCCCTTTTGCTCGCGACCCTCCAGCAGTCACAATGGCCGACAGAGCAAAGCACTCGCGTGGTAAGCCTGAGGTCCCAGGTTCAAATCCTGGCGCAGGGAAAATTATTTTATTTTCTATTTTTTATAAATTTATTTTTTTGTTTAGGCTGTTTACTGTAATTTTTAAATTTGATAAAAAAATATTTTTGTTTAATTTCTTTGTTTTTATGGCACAAGCGTTTCTTCCTAAATGTTTTTTGCAATGCAATTAGATTTTCAAAGTTGTTATTTATTTATAAATTATTAATTACATTTATTTAACTTTAAAAATCTTAACCACCTCCAAGCGGCCTCGAACCTGCCATTTCAGAACCAGAACCAGTAGTCTTCACGTGACGCCACAGCCGACATTTGTAAGAAAAGCAATTAATTGCGTTTTATTTTTGGCTTTGGCAATTCAAAGGCAGATGTCGCTGATCGCCTAAATTCTTCGAAATTGTCCTAATTTATGAACAAGTATTTTTTCTAACTGATTTGGCTTTTCACTGCAGGGTACATATACATACACAGATGTGAACAGTCAAATACGTGCGTAATAAATTTTGTATGAAAATATTATTTTTAAATACGAACATTTTTAAACGATAATCAAATATAAAGTATTAATTTTTACTATGCATTATTTCCCTCAGTGTAATCATGTATGTATGTATGTATATAACTCGTATAGGAGACCCTTTTTGTATATATTTAGCATACAATAAGGCGCACAAAGGGAAATCTTGCTGTCGGAATATGGTAATTGAGCAAGATTTGATTGAATTTTGCTAATGATGAAACCAGTGGCAAGAGCACTGTTTCCCTATCTGGGAAAAATCTGTATCTCTGTACTCAAATTTTTGAATATCCTACAGGTGTGTGCGATTGCCCATACATATGTCATAGGTGAAAGACTCTTACAATTCGGGGTTCGGTTGTCGTCTCCTACCAG